ACTACAGTGAGAAGGTGGGGCAGGAGTTTAGAGATCAACCAAAGGACTTGTATGCAAGCATATAAGCATAACCAATGGACACAGACACTAAGGAGGTGAGGGCATGTGCTGGGGTTGAGGGTAGATGGGGGGAAGTCAATGCAGGGAGAAAAAGAGACATGTTATATTATATGTAATTCTTTAAACAATAAAATAATAATAATAAAAATTTAAAAACCTACTACACGAGCGACCTATGGGGTACTTCTGTTGCCCAAAGAAACCCTGGCAGTCTCTGGCTCGCACCACTACATGGAGCCTTTTCCAGCCACAACCATAAAGGTCGCCTGTGAGAGGGAGTGACCTCAAGGCTCTGGCAGCACCCCAGTCCTATGCAGACAGCCACCAGGCTGCTGGGTGAGCTGCTCACGTGCTCATGCACCTGGCCGCTGGAAGATCACAGTCCCCGCTACAAGCAGACTCTCTCTCTACTTTGCCCTTGGTCATTAACTTTCTGGCTTTGTCCTCCCTTCCCCTGCTGGCAAGAAAGTTATGAATAGAATGTACGAATTCCAGTCTATGTGTATGCTCAAATATAAAATAATAAATAAATAAAGTTTAAAGTAAATAAATAAAATACAAATGAATCTCTACATTTAAAAAAAATGGCATCATTAATCCATTGAGGGAAAATATTCATAATACATATCCTATATCTAATAATGAACTTATATCTGAAATATATGAACTCTGACAAATCAATAAGACAATGTCAATGATAATAATAATCAAACAACCTAGTGGAACATTGGCAAGAGACTTTCTCAGGCTCTTAACAAAACATAAATATATGATTCATAAATATATGAAAAGATGTTCAACCTCAGTTAAAGTTAGGGAAATGCAATCAAAACCACAATCAAAATCCGGAACATGCCTAATAGAATGGCTAAAATAAAAAAGACTGAAAACCCCTCATCTTGGTGAGAATAGGGATATGTATTTTCATACTCCTCTGGTAGGAATATAAATTGATGCAACTACTTTTGAAAACTGTCCAGCAGTATTGTTTAAAGCTGAACAAAAACCCACCCAGCAGTGACACTCCCAGAGGTGCTCCCATCAGAAGTGCACGCACGTGTGCACCAAAAGATGACGCAGGAACATTCAGGGCAGCATTATTTACAATAACTCTTAAACACAGAGTAACTTAAATCTGTCAACTGGGAGCAGATGAAAATATAGTCACACGGTCATCAGAACTACAACTACATGCCACATTGGAGATGAATCTCATACATGGAAGCTGAGTGAAAAGCTTGACAGAGCAGACTATGTACTTAGGATTCCATTTACTTCAGCTTTGCAAGTGGGCAAAACTGATCTGTGTTGTTAGAAGTTAGGGGAGGATGGAGGAAGGGGCGAGTCCCAAGAAGGGGCTTCTGCCATGTGAGTACAGTTTTATTTCATGACCAGGTAGGTACCTACGGGGGTGTGATCACTTTGCAATAATTCTCTAGTTGTATCCTTATTACTTGTGCATTTTTATGGACATGTGTTGCACTTCAAAAGAAAGCAATCTATATAGGAACTAGGCCCAGTGCACAAATTCATGCATCAGTGGGATCCTTGGCCTGGGCTGCAGGATCAGGCTGAACTGGCTCTCGGACATCCCCTCAGGGTCCCAGATTTCAAGAGGGTGCAGGCCAGGTCAAGGAATCCCACTGATGCATGGCTGGGGCCAGGAAGGGATGTAGGAGGTTAGCCAGCCAGGGAGGGTGTGGGAGAGGGCTGTCTGGCTCCTCTTGCTTAGTTCCAATCAGCCAGACCTCAGTAGCAAGCTAACCTACTAGTCAGAGCATCTGCTCCCAAGTGGTCAGTGCATGTTACAGCAACTGGTCAACCAGTCAACTGTTTGGCCCCTGGTGGTCAGTGCAAATCATAGCAAGTGGTTGAGCAGCCTTAGCATATCATTAGCGTATTACACTTTGACCAGTTGACCAGACACTTGGCATATTAAGTTTTTATTGCATAGGATAATTATTCAAAGGAGTGGACTCATTTCACCCACCTCAACCTCTATGGATAGGCATTTTTATTAGTTTCTGGTTGATCATTCCAGTAATCCTTTTTATAAGCACAAGCATATTTATACTTATTCCTCTCACCACTTTCTTCCCTGAATCATTATGTGCACTTCTCTGCTTCTCACTCCACTCTCTGTGCTGACCACTTGCCCATATTTGCATTACTAGGGAGACTTCACCAGTGATGCTGGTTGGGCTAAGATTCATTTCTGTTAATAAACGATCTCTGACACTAGCTCCCTTTCAACATTACAATGGGATGCAGGTGGGAACAGGGAATGAGACTCCAGCCCACTGAGTGCAGATCAAGGGGTTGCTCTCACCCCTTCAAGGTCTGCAGCTGAGTATCAGAACACTCTGTCAGTCCTGTCGTCCAGGCAAGAGCGCTAATGGGCAGCAGAGCTGTTCCACGGGAGATGAAACTGTCCCAGAGGAGAGAAAGCTTTTATATTAAGTGACCTCATCCTTCATTTAAAATGTTAAAGAAGCCCTAGCTGGTTTCTCTCAGTGAATAGAGTGTCAACCTGAGGACTGAAGAGTCCCGAGTTTGATTCCAGTCAAAATCAGTGGCAATCTCCGGGCCCTGGTAGGGGACATGCAGGAGGCAACCAATTGATGTGTCTCTCTCACATCATTGTTTCTCTTTGTCTCTCCCTTTCTCTTCCACTCTTTCTAAAAATCAATGGGGAAAATATCCTTGGATGAGGATTTTTTTTAAAAAAGTGAAAGGAGCCCAGCTGGTGTTGCTCAGTGGCTGAGCATCAACCTATTAAGAAAGTCACAGTTAGATTCCTGGTCAGGGCACATGCATGTTGTGGACTTGATCTCCCTCTCCCTTTCTCTCTGAAATCAATAAAAATATATTTTTAAAATAAAATAAAGATGTGAAAGGATCAACAAATTGGAGTGACTAAAGGAAGTGGAGGGTCAGTTTATCTGAATGACATCTGAGAAGCACACCAAGGATTTACAAGCAGGCTGGTCTTTACAAAGCAAACCTTTTCCTTCTCTGCCCTTCACCCTCCACAGGAAGCCATAAACATCTGTGGCCAACACCCCACCACCCCCCAGAAGAGATTCTATATGTGTGTGTTTTTTTCATTTGTTTTAAAAAAATTATCATACAACAAAATTAATTCCCCCCAAAAAATAAATAATAAATAGGTAATAATAAATAAAAACGTGAAAAGACAGCCAAGGATTACTAGACATTAAAAAAAAATGGACCACATAGAAAAACAAAATCAGAAAACTGACTCCAGAGGAAACAGATAATTTAGAAAATGAAAAAGAACTTTTTAAAAAGCAATATTCCAAGAATGTTGGAAAAATATGCCTATAAACCCAGAGCAGGTTGCTAAGAAGAATTAGAGAATGAAGAAGAGTTTTTTATGAAATTAAAGATGTGATGGATAAAATAGAAAATTCAAAAGCTGAAGTAAAAAGTCAAAGGCATCCAAAAATATTAAAATATGAGAGAAAAGTTAGGAGATATAGACAATTTGGGAGGCACAATATGCATCTAAGATTTCCAGAAAGCGAACAGAAACTAAGTAAAATAAGAGGGAAGAATATAAAAATAAATACACTTTTTCAAATCTTCCGATCATACAGGCTCACATAATGCCAAACAGGGAGAATGAGAAATACTTTCATAGGCACGTTCATAGGCAAGGTTTCTATACCAAGGACAGAGGGGAGATCTCCCAAGTTTTGCTCTGGCACTCTGAGTCAGAAACAATCATCTCAGCATCCACAGAACAAAAAATACTTGAAGATACAGACTTCCGTGTTCATTCCAAGGGGAAAGATTTCTGTACATGTACAGACACATTTAAAATCGCACTTTCTTCCCTTCTTCTCAACTTTTCTCTTTGGACAAACTGTCCTGGGATCTCCCCGTGGGGGAGGAGGGGAGTGAGACTAGGTCAGGGCTCAGAGCTGGGGCCCTGACTTTGGGCCTCTCAAACCCCCACCCCCAGGTGTCATAGCAGCGGCCCCATTGGCCCAGGCAGCTCTGTAAGCACTTCTGTATCTTGCCCAGGGCCCAAGTGCAGGCCCCATTTTCAGGTTTTGCTGTTTTAGATGGGGTAGGGCATCCTACCCACTCCTGCCTGTCAGAGGTTGTGCAGTTGGTTCTGGAGGCTTCCCTGGGAATTCCGAAAAAATAGTGACTAGACTCAACCCGGCAGGGCTCAGTTCCCTCCACAGGCTTTTTCATCCTCCGGGTCCCTCAGCCCTGCCTTGATCCTGTGGGGCTCCACGGGGCCACACAGCGTCGATGGACTGGCAAAATGCACTGTGTCTCCTCCCTGTTGTCTGTGAATCTGTGTCTTTCAAAGCCACTTGACTGGCTGGGGTGGCTGGAGGGTCACTGTGCATCAATGTCAGGGTGGATGTGCCCTGCTACCACCACCCATCCCACTCTCTGCTCCATCTCTGGACACATTTTTCCCTTAGACTCCTTATGGAGGGGGCCCTTTGGTAGGAATGTGGCTTAGAGTCTTCTCAACCAAAGCTCAGAGCTACAGTTACAGCTGCGGCACTCGGTCTGCTTGGCTCATCCCCTCTGTGGCTAGCAGGGCAGGGCGGCCCATGAGCATGCATTGCCTGGCTCTGCCTCTGAGCAGCTTTGAGGACCACCTCGTGCAGCCCTCTATGTCTGAAGGAAGTGGGTCTAGCTGGGGTCTTCCAGGTCCCCCAGCAGAGTTGGAAGGTGGGAGGTTGTGTGCAAGAGAATAGCAAGTGGGAGGTGCCCAGGTGGCAGAACGTTCTCCCAGGAGAGATCTGGGCTTGGGAATCTGAGGGGCAGAACTGAGGCCTGCTGCCCGGGGTGCGAGTCTTCTGAGCTGTGCCAGCCTGGCACAACCACCTCTGCTCATCTGGGGCTGGTGAGGTCACTGGGAACTGGAGCCACCCTTTGTCTCCTCCCAGGCTATGCTCCTGTCACCGGGATGTGCCACCCCGTTCGCAGTTGCACCCTGAACCATGAGGACGGCTTCTCCTCGGCGTTTGTGGTGGCCCACGAGACCGGCCACGTGTAAGTGGCCTCATGGTCCTGGTTGTCTGGGGAAGGTTGGGGCTTGAGGGGCCCCACTTCTCTGAGCCCTGAGAGGCACAGAGCCCTATGAAAAGCACTAGGCTATGAAGGCCTGCCCTCCCAGCACTGCACAGGGCAGACCCAAGGTTCCTTTCTGTTGAGGAAACACATCAAAGAAAGGGGCGATGGTGCTGGGGATCTTCCCTGGATTACCCCACTTTACAGATGAATAACTGAGGCTTTGAGGGAGGCTGGCCTGGAGCAGAGAGCCAGAGGTGGGTGTGCATGCCCCTGGCACCACCTAAATCTCCACGCTGGACAGATACTGATGGGAAGCGCCATGGGGCCGCCGGGCCTGTGTGGGGAGTGTGCCGAGAAGGTGCCTGGAGAGCTGGCTCCACTGCAATCTCATGTCACAGCCCCCTGTCTTGGGGACAGGACACTGAGGGGCATGCTGCTGGATGCATCTCCCCAGAGTGCCCTTGGCTTTCAGATTCTACCTATGGGACCTCGGTATCACCTGGCTGAGGGCAGACCAAAACAGCAAAGGTCCAGGAGGGCCCAGTGGAGGGAAGTTGGGGGCACACCCAGCATTTGGGTGGGGGAGAGCTGACAGGTCAGTGCAGCCAGGTGAGGGTGCATGAGGCTCCCTTGGCTCCCCGAACAGGCTAGGCATGGAACACGATGGGCAGGGCAACCGCTGCGGCGACGAGGTGCGTCTGGGCAGCATCATGGCTCCCCTGGTGCAGGCAGCCTTCCACCGCTTCCACTGGTCCCGCTGCAGCCAGCAGGAGCTGAGCCGCTACCTGCAGTGAGTACCCCCCGTGTGCCCCGTGGACAACCTGAACCCCTGGGGTGCATGTCCCAGGGCTTCTGGGCCCAATGCAAACCCCCAGACCTTGGGTCCTCCGATCTGAGGTGCAGGGGAGGTGAGAGGGAAAGCACAGGGCAGGTCAGTGTGGGGGATCCCACTGTTGGGAATCACCTTTAAAGGACACTTAGGATCTGGACAAACCAGGTCCTGGGTAGTCACGCCAAGAAGCAGAGATGCAGCAGGGAAACTGAGGCAGCTCAGCAGACAGGCCCATCATCACAGCTCCAGAAGGGGCCTCAGCAGCCCCCACAGACTGGATGGCCAGTCCAGCTGAAGGCAGCTTGCAGTGCCCACGTGTCCCCTCACAGCTCCTATGACTGCCTGCGGGATGACCCCTTCGCCCACGACTGGCCGGCGCTGCCCCAGCTTCCCGGGCTGCACTACTCCATGAACGAGCAGTGCCGCTTCGACTTCGGCCTGGGCTACATGATGTGCACCGCGGTGAGTGTCGGAGCCGGCACCCTGGGGGCAGCGGCTCCCTCTGCACCCAGTCACGCACAGTGCCCACCCTGCCTGTTCAGACTTGGTCCTGGGCAGGGAGCACACAGCTGACAAGGGCTACTAACAAGTGACCTGGGGAGCACCGAGGGATGGTGGGGGCCTGGTGTGGCCCCTGCGTGGTCGGCAGAATTCAAGAGGGCTCCCCTAGGAAGAAGCAAGGTGTAAAGGTTGAATGGGAGGACAGGGCATTCCAGGAGGCAGAAATCACATGCACAAAGGCCAGGAGGTGCAGGAACATAGCATGCTGAGGAGCAATAGTTGTTCCCCAGGGTTGAGTGCCAAGGCAAAGCCATTAGCGTCAACGCAAGTCATCAAAATTGAGTGTATCTGCGGATTGAGGCCCACCAGGTGTGAGACAGTATGGCAAGAGCAGCAGTGTGTATCAGTGCTCATCCCACCTCCACGTAGGAAGTAAGCCAAGTTTTCCACTTTGCCGATGAGGAAATTGAGGCCCGGAGAGGTTAGGTAAACTGCCTAAGGCCACACCGTGAGCAGATGGTGGATCTGGGTACTGATGAGGCTGTCTAATCTCTTGCAAGTTAGTCTAAGGATGGTGGTGGGCAACGGGGAGCTCTGTGAAAGTTTGAAGAGGCGAGTGGCATGGCTAGGTCTGAGTTTCAGCCGTATCCCTCAGGGATGTCCTGGAGGAAGGGCTCTCAGGATAGGAAGCAGAAAGGTCAGGAAAGAAGTAACTGTGAGATCCAGAGGTCAAGGCTGGAGCAAAGACAGGAACAGAGGCAAGGGCTTCGGTAGAAACTCAAGAGGTGGAGTGTTCAGATCGGGGGGGGGGGGGGGCAGGAGGGGCCTTAGGGCCTTGTAGTGGCAGCTCCTGGGCCAGAGAGATGCCCACCCAGCCCCCATGCCAGGCTCACTGTCTGTCCAGGCTCCATGGGGGCTGCAGCCATCAAGGGTTGAAGGCCGGGAAGGCCACTACCCCACAAGGACTTGAATTAGAGGCTGCACACTCGAGATTCTCATGGCCTCAGAATCACATGGAATTCGGGGCACCCACTGGTCACACAGGCCATCACAGGCAGTCAGGCTGTGCCAGTTGCACACTGTCCCAGAGGCCTCTGGGGAATAGGGTCCCCGCAGTGGGAAGCACCCTGACCAGTGGCTGGTGTTCTCTTCCAGTTCCGGACCTTTGATCCCTGCAAGCAGCTGTGGTGCAGCCACCCTGACAACCCCTACTTTTGCAAGACCAAGAAGGGCCCCCCACTGGATGGGACCATGTGTGCACCTGGCAAGGTGAGTCTGGGCAGACGGCAGGCCCCGTGACACGCTCAGATCTCCAGGGACAGTCTTTAGCACCCTTGGGATGGGGCTGGGGGCTTTTCCTGTCTCCTTTCTAATAATCCCCACATGACTCTCTCTCCAGCCCTTGTGCTTCCCACACACTATTTTCTCAGAGCAAACCTGATGTCTCAGAGCACCTCTCTGTGCTTCAGCCCTCTTCCTAGAGAGCTCCCTCCTCTGAGGAGCAGTTTGGGGATTCTAGCAGCCTCACTCCCCCCTGCACACTGTGTGACTGGGTCACTTCACCTTGAGGCCAGCACTGGAGTCAGGTGGCTGCTGGGTCCCCAAGCCTAGCTTAGAGAACCAACTTGTCCCTCGAGATTGCTCAGTAGTCACCCACCATCATCTGCCATCCTCCCAGACCCACTTCTCACCTCCAGCAAATTGCCAGAAAAAAAAAAGAAGAAGAAGAAGAAGAAGAAGAAGAAGAAGAAAGAAAAAAAACAAAAACAAAAAACAGGCTTTTCTCTCCCAGGACTTTGTCTCCTAAATCCCAGCCTGATTCTCACCGGCTCTGATGAAGCCTCCTACCTACTTCTCAGCCAGTCACTTGCAACGATGAGCCTAAGCCTAATGCTGTGCATACTTACTCTGTGAGGGAGGGGCATGAACTCCAGTGCAGGTCCCCCAGCCCAGGCCCGAAAAGCCCCCAGATAGCTTGGGCCTGAGATTTTTCCGGGTCTTAAATTCTGCTTCATTTTATTTTGTTTGTGGTGGAGCTTCTTAAATCTACAGATTCCCAGGCCCACCCCTGCAGGTTGTGGTTTGCAATAAGGATAGGGAATTGATTTTGCTATTTTTTAAGTTATGGTGAAATCTAAGTAACATAAAACATGCTATTTTAACCACTTTAAAGTATACGATTCAGAGGTGTTTAGTTACATCACTATGTATAGTTCCAGAACGTTTTCACCACCCAAAAAGAAGACCCCATTAAGTATTGAGTCTCCATTCTTTTCCTCTCTCCAGCCCCTGGCAACCACTGATAGACTCTCAGTCTCTGTGTATTTGCCTATGCTGGAATTTCTTATAACAGGAATCGTACATTATATGGCCTTTTATATCTGTCATCTTTCACTCAGCATAACATCTCCAAGGTTCCATATTGTGGTCTGTGTTAGTGCTCCATACTTTTTTGTGGCTGAGTAATGTCCCACTGTCTGGATAAACCACATTTTGTGAATCTGTTTGTCCATCAGTAGGCACTTGAGTTGACTCCACCTTTTGATATTTGTGAATGAGCTGCTATGAACATTCAATGAGCATATTTTTTTTGAAAACTTAGGACTTGGTATTTTTAAGAGGTGCCCAGGTGATTTGGTTGTGCCCCCAGACTTAATGAACTCTTAGAAGTTGGAGGTGGGATATCTTATATAATAAAAGCCTAATATGCTAAGTGTCCAGTCAGCCAGTGGGCCATTCAACCAGTCAAAGCATAATATGCTAATGATGTGCTAAGATCACTCAACCGCTCACTATGATGTGCATTGACCACCAGAGGCCAGATAGGCGACAAGTTGACCAGTCGCTATGACACGCACTGACCTCCAGAGGGCAGACACTCTGACCAGTAGTGGCCAATTGAAACTGAGTGATACAGGCTGAACATGCCCTGGAGCCCTCCCGCTGCCCCTGCTCTGCTGGCCAACCTCCTGCATCCCTCCCCAGCCCCGATAGTGCACCAGTGGAGCCCTCAGCCTGGCCTGCACCCTCTTGAAGTCTAGGACCCCTCAGGGAATGCCAGAGAGCTGGTTTCGACCCGATCCTGCAGGCCAAGCTGAGGGATCCCACTGTTGCACAAATTTGTGCACCAGGCCTCTGGTTGGTAATAAATGCCAGGAACCTAATAATATCAGTACTAACCACATAGCCCTCTAACCGCACAGGAGCTTGATGAAGGGCCCTGAAGCATAACTCCAGTGGGAGCCTCAGTACACTCTGAGCTGGAGGATGAGACTAGGTGGACAGGGCAGGAAGCAGGCCCTGCACAGGTGTGCTCACCTGAAGTGTGTGGCTGGTCTTCATCCATAGTCACCTAGCCCCTGGGAGAATGTCAGTCAAAGGATGCTTATACCCCCAACTGATTGGCTCCCTCCTCCTGTGGGATAGTGGGATCTTGCGAGGAAGATGGGCAGATATGGCCAAAAAGCCCCATCCTCACAAAAACAACTGACCCAGCCATGGTCCTTCACTCAATTTGGTGGTAGGACCCTTTGTTAATTTAGCCCAGTAAATAAAATTGCCATTTTTGTATTATAAACAAACACAGAGCTATGCTGATTGAGGGGCCACAGTTGGGGCTCAACTCAGCCTGCATGGTTCACAAGAGCACAGTTTGAAATCTGACCTAAACCAGGGATTCTTGTTGTGTGGGGTGAGGCTGGAGTGGCAAAGGGAGAGAGGAAGAGGGTGGGCACCTCCAGGGGCTTATCAGAATCTTCCACCTGTGTGAAATTATAAGTTCAATACTTTACTTATTATTGCAATGTAATTTTATATTCAGAAGTTAGTAATTTCTTACCTGCCTCTTTCCTTCAAGAAAAGCTACCAGTGCAAGAAGAGAGGGCATGGGAAGGAAGCAGGGGTGAAGTTTGGCCAGGATGGAGAAATAGCAGATCATCTTAGGCTGTGCTAAGCTCAGCTGTTCCTCTTTGTTCCATTCTTCCCTCAAGCTCCTCAGCAAGGGTCACCCAGCACTTAGGCTCTGGTCACAGCCTGGGATGGAATCCTCATTGTCCACACTCCCCAGTGGGCCATCCCAAGCACATTCTCCCTTCTCAGCCTTCACTGTTACATTATACTCCTGCTCACACAGTTCTGGGTGTTCACCATTTCTAAGAAACAGAACACTCTCTGTTCTCTACATAAATTTGATCTGTAGAGAAGCAGCAGATAAGCCTTACTGTCATGGTCCATTCATTGTTTGCCCCGAGTTGCACACTGTGGTGGTTCAGAACCATTTGCTTAGGCAGGGTGAGGCTGAAAGGGTCAGGTGCTTAGGAACCAGGGCCATGGGTGTGCAGCTTCCTCATGGGTGGGCAGGTGTGGATGAGAAGGGAGATGTGAACATGTTGCCCTTGGACAGGGAAGTGGACAATGCACCTGAGGATTAAGCTGAAGAAGCTGGACATCCCTTAGCTCCATATACACCCATCTATTCATTCATTCATTCGCTCATTCATTCCATGTATCAGGTCTCTTCACCTCCGTGGGACCTGTTGTCTGTGGGCATCAGCCATGAATGTGAAGAGGCAGTGGTGACATGATAGTGAGGACGGGGATGGGGAGTGGCCTGTCAGGGAGCTCAGGGAGGCTCCCGGTCAGTGACCCCCACTGAAGCCCAAGGGTGGAGAGAAGTGGGAGCAGCACCCCAGGCAGAGAGTGTGTGATGAGTGGACAGTGCTGAGGAGAACATGGCAGATGAGAGGAACATGGTATTTGAAAGTCAATGTATGAATAGAAAATTCCAGGTAGAGTAAAGTCAACAGGAGATGATTGTCATTGAAAAGGGAGTTTGTTTCTCACAGATCTCAAAGGGAGGGTTCCACCCCCACCCCCTAACATGCCACAGGGTAGAGGGGGAAGACACCAGAAAGCAGCAGGGTGGGTCAGGAGGCAAAGGGACATGGAAACTGTAGTTTCCACAAGAAGAAACAGTGGACACTGAGGCCGGGTAAGCGGGTTTAGGATTGGCTAGTGTGTACGTTTCAGTGAGTGCTGGGGCATAGGAGCTGCTCGTAGTCCTCTGGCACTTGTCTCTGGGTGATAAGGGCAAGTGGTCCAGAGTGTGAGAGCCCGCAGAGGAGGTGGTTAGGGTGGGGGCTCTGGATTAGGTGGCTTGCATATGAAGGCATGTTCTCAGGTTAATAGTTCACTATCTCCAGGAACTAGCCAACCCCGGGAGGAGCAGCCCCTCCAGAGTCAGCAAGGCCCCCGATGTCACAGTACCAGAATCCAGAAAATGAAAGGCATGGTTAACACACGTGGCTCCCAGGAAGGTTGGGCGATGGTAGGAGAGAGGGAAGGACTAACTCACCTAGGTGTTTCCTGTGCCTGCTTGGTGTCCTGCGTTGCCCAGCGTGCTGGGGACCTGGCTCAGATCTGCTCTGTGATGGGCTTGCCCTTCAGCCATGAAGCCTATATGCATATACTGTGGAGGCAGGGCCAGGCCAAATACAAAGGGTCCTCCCAGGTGGATATGCCCCGCAGGCCAGGCTGGTGGGCTCACCTTGCCCTCCCTGCCGGAGCCAGGGTCAAGGCAGCAGGAGGAAGGCAGGCCCAGTCTGGTGCTTCTGCCTTGGTATGTCTCGACAGGAAAGGATCCTCCCTCTGTGTGCTCTTGTGTCCAGATGAAGCACCTTAGGGAAGCATCAGCCACCCTAGTTTTCACAAACTTCTGAGGACTGTTTCAAAGATACACGCCTGATGCAAAGGCCTCATGATGCTCCTGTGTTATGCTCATGTTTCCTGTGTAGCTGAGAATTGGCAGGCAGGCATAGTGACAGGGATACCCAGAGTTCAAGCCCTGGGTCCCTCCTTCCTCACCATGTGGCCTGGGGCCATTCTTTCCTGGGGAAAGTCAGCTACTTTCCCAACTTGCTTACCCTCATATCCCAAGCTCCTAGCACATGGTATCCACTGGGGACATGCTGATGGATGGATGGAGAATGGAGACCCAAGGCCTCAGCAGTTCAGAAATGCTACATGCTCCCTTCCTGAAACAGAAAGTCTGCCATTCAGGCTTCCAGACCCACCAGGCAGTATTCCTAGCCTGCTAGGTATGTCAGTGCTGTCCGGAGTACCCAGCCCATGACACAGCCGGTCAGGCTCCAGATTCACTCAGGACATATGAAATTGTGTTTTTAAATATTTAACTACCTCTACTGGATGAAATATTTGTGAGCATTTAAACATGTTATATAGCCTTTTAATAGCATTAAACTGTTTCTCCC